CACCACAAAAAAAAAAAAAAAAAAAAAAAAAAAAAAAAAAAAAAAAAAAAAAAAAAAAAAAAAAAAAAAAAAAACCACTGTAAAGCTGGCCTTAGCCTTGCAACTGGCTGGCCAAACCTTGAGATTGGTAAGTCACTCGAACCACCTAGGGATCTTGTTAAAACTACGGTTCTGGCTCAGCAGGCCCAGAACAGAGCAGCGCTTCAGCATATTCCTAACACAGCCCTAGAAAATGGAGAGACTGCTGGTTTAGGGATCATGCTCTGAATACCACAGGTATGAGCAGCATGAGGTCAAAGCATACAAACTTTGGTTTCTGGCCTCCCAACACAATGTAGTAGGGCTGGGATAGTGCTTCTCCAAAGCCTGTTGGATATCTGGAAATGACCCAATGGCTCCATCAAGATAGCAACCCCTGCAAAGCTATATCTGACCTATCTTTGTGCCTCCTAAGCTTTAGACAAGGACTTAACATTGAGAAAAATAAAATAGGCCCACCTGGTTAGGCTTTAGTTCCGCAATATCTCCAACCACTATACTCTCCATCAGCTTCACTCGGTCACGACCAAATATCTTGGTCTAGGGAAAATATGGAAAGCCTCAGGCCACTGCAGTATCTGAAGTCTAAAAGGCTACTAGGCAAGAAAGCATCCTACAGTTGTCCATAACACACTTCAGCCCAGAAGTGAGTGAGTACGGTCTTTGGGTTCTGGAGATGGCAGAGGGTCTACCTTCTCGTTTCCCCTTTCCCTCCCAGCCTCCTGGGACCGAGCACCTTACTAAGATACCCAACCAATTTCCAGCCAATATCCAGCACAACAGATGGGAGTAGGTACAGCTCTAGCCAAGGGCAGGGGAGAGCAAATCAGAAGACCTCCTAAATTAGTCAGTGCCCCTAACCCTGTAGTCTAAGATCTCCTCACGCTAAGCAGCAAAGTACAATACTGTAGATGGGGAGGAAGGCCAGATCCAGCCCCTGGCTCACCTGCAGCATGTGGGACACATCGAAGAGAGAACAGTGCTGGCGTGTATGCAGGTGTGAAACAACGTGACTGTCCCGGTATTGAACAGGTAGACTCCACCCTGCAAACGCCACCATTTTTCCTCCATGGGCCAGGTGGAAGTCATACAGTGGAGTCCTGCGGAGCACATCCTGTGGACAGCCAGGTTTAAAGCCACCAGGGCCCAGTCCCATCAGCTTCCTCCCTCGCCCTCCAAGACCAGTAACAAACTCCCACCAGTGCCCTTCATCCCACCTGTACACAACTGAGTGGGCGGCTCTGGACCAAGGGTTGTGCCTGCAGGCGAAAACCCAGAGCCACCACACTCGCTGTCCGCTGCATTGTCACCGGCAACTGGTGCAGCCGGCACACCGAGGCCACTACTCTGCCAGGCACTCTGGGAGATGTAGTCCAAACCCCTGTTTGGACAGGTCTTTCTAGCTCCCAGAGGATGGGAAGGGGTGTGGGAAGCCCACAGGGCAGGCTGGGATTTAGAACGGGGCGTTGACTCCCGATGGCCTCAGGCTCTTCCTTTAGCTAATAAAAGCAAGTCAGGCAGTTCAGAACAGAATATGCTGCCTAGAACCAGAACTAGGGGGTTAGAACTCCCAGCCTCCAGGTCAAAGTTCTGCAAATGGCTGAAAAGCCTGAATTACACATTCAGGTCAAATAGCCGTGAGAGGTGGAGCCACTAGAGGGTGAAATCCGCTGGGCAGTCCTAGTATCTTCTTATGGTCTCTGGCTCTCCCACTGGGCACACACAAGCAGCAAACAGCGGTCACGTATTCCACAAGTATTTATTTATCTTGCCGCACACTAGTTCCAGGGATCTTAGGAATACAGCTATGAATTATGCATGATCCCTGCCACCCCAAATCCTCTCTACTCATGCAAACTAAAGACCATTGCTCCCTGAACACAGGACTATGATCAGCCTTTCAGCAAAAACTGGATGGGTTTAAACAATGATCTTGTAGGTAAAAACACTAACTTCAAGAAGGCTGATTGGCAAGAATACAGGGTAGCTACCAAAGGTGGCTAGACTTTCCCAAAAACTGCACATACACGTGTTCAATTTTCCAGGTCCAGGACACCTTGCTGCACTGCTTTATAACCCTTCCCAAGGGCAACATCTGGGAGACCTGGAGGGAAACCGAATTTTAGCCCAGGTAAGAGCAGCCGCCTTCATCATTTACAGGTTGCTCAGTGCCCATCGAGGACCCTAGCCTTCGTTTGCACACACTACCCCCAGGGTTCATCTCTCATTGTCCTGAGCATGACCGGTAAGAAGTAACTGGGAGAAGGGTCATAGATATGCTTCATGCTGAGACAGAGGACAAATAGATTGGAGGTCTCATCGTCAGGCCCCAGCTGTGCCAAAAGCACCTGCCCAGAACTGACAGACAACACATTTCAGCAGCCAAATCCCAGCTCTGCGTCCTAGGCTGGTACAAGCTGGCAAAAGACAGATTTAAAGAGGGACATTTTCTTTTTCTTTTCATCCCCTGCGCCACAAAGACAAGGTTTTACTGTGTAGCCCTCGTCTGGAATTCATTGTGTAAACCAGGCTGGCCTTGAACTCACAAGTACTGAGGTTAAAGGTGTGTGCCACCAGGGAGACCTGGACATTTACTGTAGGACATTTACTTTCCTATGGATATAATACAAAAGGAAAAAGGCTACCAACAGAAGCAGAGGAATGAATAGGGGACATCTCTTCTTCAAGTTTCTCAGGTCATAAGTGTCAAAACAGCAGTGGCCTTCCTAGGCTACAGGGAACAGGTTTATCTCAATAATAAGGAAAATGGTAGAAGACAGGCTGTGCACATCGGCAGGATAGGCAAGAGGAATTCAAGGATTCTAAGTAGAACCTGTAAATGTTGAGAGGAAGAGACTGAATTTGCATGTCAGACAAAGACAGAAAGTACCCCACACACACTGGGAATTCATGCTAAAACAGCTAAGTGAATGTTAAGAATTTCTTTGGCGCAGATAGAACTTGGATGCGCAGGGAACACACTTCAGTTTCTGGTGGCCAAACCAGTCCTGGATGGGCACAGAAGGCCAATGTCTCAAGGAGAAGCTGCCGTTCATGTATAGGAGAGCAAATTCAGATCATAGCAGCCATCCACCTGCAACACAAGAGACTATCAGTTCCGAGCTATTCAAAGCAAGGAAAGCCAAGCAGAAGGAAGCACTCACTCACATCAAAGCGGCCGATCCTTGTGGAACTGTGACTAGCCCGAATCATCTCTGTCAGTGCCCACATCTGCTGCACCTCGGAGGATACCCTGCTGGGATCTGGGAGACCCTGCTCCAGAAGGAAGGAAGAGTGGCCATGAATCTCTCCCCAGTAGTGCCCTTAGAGATGTAAGACATGTCCCAGCACTCGGGAGGCAGAGGTAGGCGGATCTCTGTGAGTTCGAGACCAGCCTGGTCTACAGAGCTAGTTCCAGGACAGGCTCCAAAGCCACAGAGAAACCCTCTCGAAAAACCAAAAAAAAAAAAAAAAAAAGATGAGATGTAAGACATGGGGCACTCCAGCTGAAACCAGTAGCAATCCCAGGTAACTTGCAGAATGTCTGTGTGCCTAGGGCTTGATGTTCACTCAGGAAGCAGTCCATGCCTGCCTAGAAGCAGACACAACTCAAATCCCACAGAACACCCAGGAAGACATTGAACCATGAGCCCTGTGTCCAGTCTCAAATTTTTGTGGTGTTGGAAATCAAACCCAGGACCTTATGCATGCTCGGTAAGTATTCTACATCCCCAGCTGGCCTCAGGATAGCCAGAGGCCCACATGTTCATACTCTGGGCATCAGAACCATGTATGTGTGGCTAACACCCAGGGTTAGAGCTTACCTCAAGGCGGGGAACAGGCTGCTCATTGGACACCGGGTGGGAAAGCCACTTGGGGAAAGTCAAGGAGGGGCTCTGCAAAGCAAAGGTATACTCTTCTAAGTGGGGCCAAATCTGAGAGCTCTGGCACCTAAGAGCAAAGAAAAGGTCCCTTGAGCCTGAAATACTGGGAAATTCCTGTTCAGGACCATGGACGATCAAAGGAACACTCAGATTACTGAGCTCTTCTGTTCTGCAGAAGGAGAACCCAGGAACAAAAGTCCATCCCAGCACCTAAAAGTAGTAGGTGGTCTCGAGGGTCAGGGGATGCCGATGCAGAAACTCACCTTTAACTTTCTGCATTCATATTCCTCCAACGTTCATGAAGGCTTCCCTCTGTAGCTCTCCATCCTTGCCCATCACCCACACCAGTGCCCCATCTCTCCTAGCCATTTAGAAGCTTCTTAGGTCTAGGTCTAGCCAGTAGGTTTCATACAGTCACTTACCTTTGGTCCCTGCTGGTAGATTTGCAATTCCTCCACTGTGAAAGACAGCCATAGTGGTGACGGCTGCCGCAGAATCAGACGCAGCTCCAGTACTCTGGTCATGTCACACAGCATCTGGACACACACACAATGACCTACTGAGCAGGGTATGGAGGTGCGTGCCTCCGCCTCAGCACTTGGGAGGCAGACGCAGGCGGTACCTTTTTCTGAGTTCAAGGCCAGCCTGGTCTATAAAACAGGAGAACCAGGGCTACACAGAGAAATTGTCTCAAACAAAACAAAAAACAATTTAAAAAGATAAATAGCTGGATGGTGGTGGCACACACCTTTAATCCCAGCACTCAGGAGGCAGAGACAGGTGGATCTCTGTGAGTTTCAGGCCAGCCTGGTCTACAGAGACAGTTCAAGGACAGCCAGGGCTACTTGGAGAAACCTTGGCTTGAAAAATCAATAGATAGATAGATAGATAGATAGATAGATAGATAGATAGATAGATAGATAGATAAAATTAAATAAAAAAGATCCACTTAAGATTCATCTCCTTTAGCAGGAACTTCCCAACCAGCAGTAAACCAAATGCTTCCCCAGCCTTGGGGAAGGACACAGCAGTGGTCCCTCCCCTGTACCCGTCTGACAGCCACAGTCCAGCCCACTTTTGCCCCACTCTTCCCTTCTGCTATTTTGCCCAATCCCTAGGCAGGAAGTCCTCATCTGGGATTTCCTAGCCATACTGAGGCCCAGCTGACCTGGTGTTTGAACAGTGATACATACTCCTGGGCTCCTTCCTCACTGTGTGGGTCAGGCATCAAACAGTAGTCCCGCAGACAAGTTACCCACTTGGATGGTGTGTGCAGTGGGGTATGTTGACGAACACGGATGCTCAAGAAAGCTGTGTAGTAATTCTTAAACATGATCTCCTGCAACTAGAATACACCCAACCAACCATGAGAAATGAGGTCCTGGGCACGGTGACAGTAATCTTTCTTTTAGAATGTACACTTTTGCTAAGCAAGTTAACAATTCTTGGAGCTCAGACATAATTTTGCTTTCCTAAAAATGCTCACAGTCCAGTAAGTCACGCAAATAAACCACACCAACATACCTGAGACGGTCCCTTAAGAAAGCAGAAAATGGACATGTGAAGCCTGAAAGAGCAAGACTGTGAAGTAGATAACAAAGGTGGGTACGGGCTGGAGAGATGGCTCAGAGGTTAAGAGCACTGACTGCTCTTCCAGAGGTCCTGAGTTCAATTCCCAGCAACCACATGGTGGCTCACAGCTATCTGTAATGAGATCTGGTGCCCTCTTCTGGCCAGCAAGCATACAGACAGACAGAACACTGCATACATAATAAATAAATAAATAAATAAATGTTTTTTTTAAAAAAAAAAAAAACAAAGGTGGGTACGGCAACACGCTGGGCTGACGATGTAGCTCAGCGGTTCAGCACTTGCCTTGTCTAGCATGTCTGAAGCTCTATGCTAGATGCTTAGTGATGTACAACCTGGGTGCGTGATGCACACCTGTAATTCCAGGGCTAGGGAGGCAGAGGCAGGAGGATCAGAAGTTCATGGTAAGCCTCAGCAATTCTTAACCATTCTGGGACTCACCAGACCCACCCACCACCCAAAAAGTAGCATATTTGAAAAAGTACCAGAGTGAGAGACCCTAAGAATCTAGTATAAAAAAGAATTGTAGTTCAACCTGGTAATAGCAGAGGTTCTCTCCCTCTGTGGAGCTCTCTGTCTGTCTCTTAACTAAGAAGGAATGATCAGACTAAGACCAGAATAAGAAGAGTAGGAGAGCTTGCTGAGTGCAGCAGGGGCCTAGGGGAGGCAATGGGCTGGGCAGACCTACAGTATCAACTACCATAGTAGTAGTTATCACTGGACGCTCATCAGAATCAGCCATGGAATTAAAAACAAAAACATATCGGTGCTCAGTGGTTAAGAGCACTTGGTGCTCTTGCAGAGTCAGGTTTGGTTCCCAGAACCTACCTGACTCCTAATAGTTCATAACTTCAGTTCCAGGGGATTTAGAAGCCTCTTCTGGCCTCCATCAGTACCAGGTATGCACAAAGTATACACGCATACATGCAGACAAAACACTCATACACATAAAGTTAAAATAAGCATTTAAATATATATATAGATAGATAGATGTCAAAGGGCCGCCTCAAACACACTGACTCAGATATTCCAGGTTTCCCAGCCAGTGGTAAGCAACCTCGTGGGAGATAACCACATATTGTAACACAAAGCATGTAAGGCCAAGGGAGTGGGTGAGGCACCGT